TCATGTGACATAGATTCATGTTATCTATGCCTTGTGAATAGGAATAGGTATATTTCGGAAACTGTCTGGCGTGCGTGACAACAGAACATATCGAGCGCATTTTTCTTGGCGATCTTTGTTGCCGATATGGTACAATACATTGGACTCCAGGCTCCAGCACGGTCCAACGAAATCCTTCAATCCTGCCAAGCCGACCTCCAAATTAGCCGGGCTGATGACAGCCCAACAGTGAAGTCCCATCGACACGAGCGCAATTAATTAGGCCCGACATCGCTCCCTGCATTGTCTTGGTCGAGCCCCGCCAAGCCGCCGGCGTGACCCCGACCTTCGGACCGCCGTTCCCGTCGGCGGCGACGGACGGAGGTCGGACCGCCGCGGCCAGCGACGGCAGCCAGCGGCCGCCGCCGCGGGGCCAATAAAGGTGGGCTGCCAGTGCATCAGCGCAGAAAATGACCCTCCCGCCGGCACGCGATCTCGCGAGGCTCGTGTGACCTGACGTAGCAGGGCGACTGGTGGATATAGTGTGGTCGAGGAGGGGCGTGGGTGTTGTCGATGCTGCTCTCCCAGGAGAGCGCACGTGGATGTGAGGTTTGTTCTTTCACTCACGTTGGGGTTTGGAGATTCTCCCGATTATAGTTTTGAGGGAGGATTGGTGGTTGTGCGATATGCATGGATATTATGTGTTGCGCAATAATAGTGTCGATATTTGTAAAGCAGCGATTAGTTTCACCCATGACCATTTTCTATAATTACCCCGAAGCTGTATAAAAGTGGCCTAGGGTATACGACCTTAGCTCACTTAGCCTAGTGACCAGAGCAAGGAACTTGAGGAAGATGAGCTTCATCTATTTTGAGGCGAAGTTATATTTGCCTCTGCTGCAAGGTTCCCCGTATCAATATTGTTAATTGCTAGTTCAAGTCGTGTACCTGCTCTCCATTTACAGCAATACCTTTGACAAATGCGTTCAAAATTAGATCATCTGGAACTAGAACAAAACTCTGGAGGAAGCATTTCTGCAGTCTATGTACAGCCGTTTTCCTAAAACCGTTGTATTAAGGTCTATTTCTGGGCTGTTGCTTTCTTCTTGGGTGCTATATAAGATATTAGCATTCCGCCCAGTTATATTTGGCTATTAAATTAATCTTGCAAGGGTATTTACTCAACTGAGTCCGACTGTATAAAATCAAGCAGGGAAATAAAATGAACATGTTTCCGTATTCGTAAAAATACGATCCAGTAAAACGCTACCAGCAAACACAAGTGAAATGAAACCAGGTTCAACCACACATATGCTCCTCTCTTGTATGTAGTAAGTGGTCGGGCCCCGATATAGAATGTTCGCTGTCAGGTGCCGGAGGCATGTGGCGGCTGGCGAGCCCGTCAGAGACACGTTCACTCCAGAGAATGGCACTCATTCGGGCCCGATGGGCGCTAACGTCTCGCACTATGATACCGGCCCGGCTCCGGCCTAATTGGGCCCACCGAACGTCATGCTTTTCAGCAATTTAATCAGACCCTTGGAAGCCGGACGGAGCATTACAAGTCCGACGACGGCAGCGCAGCGCATCAACTAAGTATGGGGTTAGAGAGCTGAATGGCCTCTATTCGACCTAGGTAGCAGGTGGTTTTCGGGAAGTGCTGGGCGGACAAATGTGCAACATCCATTGATCACGATGGAGTTGGTAACAGGCAGCCATAATTTAACACTTTTGACGTCCACAACGACTTCGACACTATGTCATGAAATAACTTTCTGAAACTCAGTTGGGATTTGTAGCAGCAAATTGAAGTGCTGGTGTTAGCGATCAAATCGGGTTTTTCACCTCCCTTCTCTTTCCGTGTGCTTTCGCTGTCAACTTGTTTTCTATACGACGGCTGTTGCGGTCGGCCACCGCCCACTCGGCGTGGCGTCACGTGAAAGGCGGCGGCCCGCCGCCAGCCATGCGTTTTTGCTCACGTCGACCCAGTGTTTTTAATCCCGGCCCAGTGACAGGGCCGGCAGTGTTGTTCGAACGCTCCTGCAAGGCGGGCACCGACAGCGGCCGCACCGACCCGTCAGCGGCCGCCGCTCACCTTGCAGCGATTCTTCTCGTCTTACCTCCATATTTCCACGTCGCAAATACACCTCAGTCTATCTCTGGTGTTGGTCCTCCGGAGTAACAAGAAAGCACGAACAAACTGGTCCTCCGGGCCGGATATGAAGAAACTGGTGGAAGCCCTAAAAGTGACGTCAGTGACTAACAGTGGCAATATGGCGGACAAGAGAGAAGACGATCAGCGTGGCCGCCACAACTCTCTCGTCACGAGGAGTGAGGCGGCGGCAAGCTCAGGCGTGACAAAACTGAGCGAAGCCCGAAAGAAGACGGAGCTTGCTAAGCTCCGTGCAGCTCAGGCAAAGAGAGCTGCAGAAGCCCAAGCTCAGCTCGCTATCCAGCAAGCTGAGCTCGAACTCCAAGCCGCGGTGGACGAGGAAGAGCTTCTGGAGCTAGAAGCGGAGCTGGAGGAGCTGGAGAAAGAGGAAGAACTGAGCACACAGAAAAGCACACAGAACAGAAAGGAATCTGAGCACGCAAAGAGGTCAGAGTTCAATCATCAGAATCGACCGACGCCGACCGCACCGCCAGCCCAGGCGGCCCCGTCCCGTGCCAGTGACAGAACACGGAACTGGATTGCTTCGCTTCCGGTGTGCCAGCCTCACGATTACGACATCAGTGCTCCTCAGCACCGGCCGCTCAGCTCTCCTCCGAAACTTCGGCTCGACAGGTACGATGGCTCACCGACTGAGTGGCCACGATGGATAGCGCTGTTCAAAGCGCTCATTCACGACCGACCTGACCTAACTGACGTCGAACGTCTCGCCCACCTGCAGTCGAGTCTGACCGGCGCAGCCAAGCAGGCTCTGCGTGGCATGCTCTGTGACGGACGGCTGTACGGTGAAGCGATCCGCGAGCTGGAGAGGCTGTTTGGAGACCCTCGTCACGTCACGCAGGCGACTCTGGCGGCTGTGTTTAACACCCCAGCCGTCAGGGAAAACGACATAAATGGCTTAGCCAAATTGTCAGGTGCTCTACACTGTGCTGTGAGCGTGCTTCACTGCTCCGATTACACCGCAGACCTGGCGGCAAGCAGCAACTTGTCCAACGTTGTTGCAAAGCTGCCAAAATCTGTAGCCTGGCGGTGGGGTGAACACACAGTGCGAATGAGACCAACCGTGCCGACACTTCCCGACCTAGATTCGTGGCTACGTGACTACGTCGACGCTGGGCGAGCCTGTCAGCACACCACCGATCTGCTTGCGACAGCAGAAGCGATTCGACCAACAGAGCAGAAACCACCTCGAAGAACGCGACACAGCGTACTGACTGCCGGACAAAGGTGTAGTGAGTCGACTTCAAACTCCACTACCTGTGTGTTCTGTGAGCAGCCCCATAGTGTGTCCCTCTGCTCGAAATTTACAGATCTTCCGGTACAAGAACGAGCGAAGCTAGCAGTTAGACACGGTCTTTGTTTCAACTGTCTAACTCCGAATCACCGAAGTAGAGAGTGTGAGTTACCGGGACAATGTTCTTCGAACAACTGCAAAAGGAAACACCACACTCTTCTGCACAACGCCGGTCGTATCTTCTACCGACGGCCCACCGAGGAACCATCAGCCGGACGAGACGGTGGCGCACACATCGGGACAGCTACTGCCAAGCAAAAGACCAGTGTGCTGCTACAGGTTTTACCGGTGATCGTCCACGGGCCGGCGGGCAGCAAGCGGACCCATGCGCTGCTAGATCTCGGCAGCCAGGTATCGCTTGTCACCGAACAGATCGCGAAAAGCGTCGGATTATCAGGCCCAGCCGAGAGTCTGTGTGTGAGCACCGTGAGCGGAACGAAGAATGTGCAGTCGCGACGTGTTGACTTCCAACTACAGTCGACAACATCAGACAGTAAGCACGCCGTCTCCGGAGCTCGTACGACGCCCTCGCTAAATGTCAGCGGCCATAAAATCAACTGGCCAACGGAGAAGCTGACATGGCCCCATCTCGCCGATCTGCCGCTGACAGCGGCGACAAACGAACGTGTGGACATTCTGCTGGGAGCTGATGTGTTCCCGCTGATTGTCCCACGAGAGATTAGGGAAGGTCCAGCCGGTACGCCCTGCGCTGTGCGCACCAATCTCGGCTGGACTGCAACCAGCCACGTCCCGCGCTCAATCCACGATGCTAAGGGGCTCGGTGTAAATGTTATCATCAGCCCGTCCGACAGTCACTTGCACGACCAGGTGAAGCAGCTATGGTCGACGGAGTCTTTTGGCGCAAAATACACCGAGACCCCAAGAAAATCGAAGGCCGACGAACGAGCTCTCTCCTTGCTGAGCAAAACTACGAAACGGGCCGGCGAGCGATATGAAACGGGACTGCTATGGAAAAGCGATAACATCCAGCTTCCAGATAGCCGTACAACCGCTCAGAACCGGCTACGATCTACGGAAAGCAAACTCAGCAAAGATCCAAAGCTTTGTCAAGCCTACCGAAGAACAATCAACGAATACGTCGAAGAAGGTCACGCTCGAAAACTCAGCGACGACGAGCTACGGGTAACGCATGACAGGGAGTGGTACTTACCACACCATGCTGTGATAAACCCAAGAAAACCCGATAAGATCCGTGTGGTCTTCGATGCAGCAGCTGCCTCGTTCGGCACATCGCTGAACGACAATCTGCTAGTTGGTCCTGACAACCTCAACTCTCTGGTGGGAATCATCATGCGATTCAGACAGCGGCCCATTCCTATCGCAGCCGATGTCAAGATGATGTTTCATCAGATCCGAGTGAGAGCAGAAGATCAGCCAGCCCTGCGATTTCTCTGGAAAGATATGGACCTCACTCAGCCACCCACCACGTATCAAATGCAGGTGCTGGTGTTCGGTGCAAGGTCATCACCTTGCGCGGCTACGTACGTGCTGAGAAGGTGCGCAACCGATGGCGAAGTCAAGCACCCCGAGGCGGCGATGGCAGTGAAGACTCGCTTCTACGTCGACGATTACCTCGACTCGCTGGAGACAGAAGAAGAAGCTGATAGCATGCGAACGTCGCTAACAGCGCTATTGAGAGACGGGGGCTTCAAACTCACGAAGTGGAGCAGCTCGTCAAGTGACGTGCTTCGAAAGATCCCGCCAGAAGACATCAGTGAGACGTCACGCGATCTCGATCTCGACAAGTCAGACTGGAGCAAGGCACTTGGAGTGTTCTGGGACGTCAACGCTGACGAATTCCGCTTCAAATCCTCTGTCATGGATGGTCAACGCACCAAACGAGCCATCCTCAGTACCGCCTCAACTATTTTCGACCCGCTGGGCATGCTCGCGCCTTTCACCGTGCGCGCCAAATGTATCCTGCAAAGGATCTGGAGCATCGGCTATGAGTGGGACGAGCTGATCACGGACTCAGACGTGCTGCAGTCGTGGGAGACCTGGCTGGATAAGCTCAAAGAGCTCGCAACCTTCACACTGAAGAGATGCTACCGTCCAGCCGCCGAAGAAGTGGTAGACTGCCAGCTACACATCTTCTGCGATGCCTCCGAGCTGGCGTACGGAGCCTGTGCTTACTTTCGCATCGAGACGAAGGACGGCCGCTTCAGCTGTTCATTCGTGTTCGCGAAAACCAGAGTAGCTCCTCTCCGACAACTGAGCATCCCTCGACTCGAGCTACAAGCCGCCGTCATGGGCGTGCGAATAGCCGAAACAATCAAGCGAGAACACGATATCAAGATCGATTCAACCGTGCTCTGGTCTGATTCGACAACAGTTCTCCAGTGGCTCCGAAGTGAGAGTAGGCGATACCACACGTTTGTGGCCAACAGAGTCGCTGAAATCCAAGACGCTTCGGATGCAGAGCAGTGGCGACACGTTCCTGGACCAATGAACCCTGCAGATATCTGCAGTCGGGGTTGCCACATGAAGGAGCTGAGTCAAGGTGCCTGGCTCAAAGGACCCAGCTTCCTCCTGCAGCCACCAGATGTATGGCCAGCGGACGCATCAACGCAGACCAGAATCACGGAAGAAGACAAAGAAGACAGCCAGCAGATGGTCTGTGCTGTCGAGAACGACAACAGCGACCTCGACTATCTCGAAAGACAATCCGCATGGCTGCGAGCTCTGCGAATCACCGCATGGATTCGACGATTTGGCGCAAACTGCCGGCAAGACGCAGGCACCAGACGTCGTGGACCGCTGTCAGCGGCCGAGCTCCAAGAAGCTGAGCGTGTGATCATCAAGAAGGCTCAAAGAGAGGAGTTCAGCGCGGAGATTGAAGCTCTACAGCGAGGCTCGAAGCTCTCCAAAAGTAGCCGTCTGTTGCCACTGACACCGTTCGTCGATGGCAACGGGCTGCTGCGTGTCGGGGGCCGCCTGGACCGCTCTGAACTGATGTACGCCGCAAAACATCAGCTCATCCTGCCAGCCAAACACGACGTCACTCGTCTCATCGTCACCGACAAGCACAGAAGACTAGCGCATGCAGGACCTGAGCACGTTCTCGCCCACCTTCGACAGAGGTACTGGATCCTGCGAGGTCGAGCTGCAGTAAAACGCTACACTCACCCGTGCATGGTCTGCAGAAGGCGAGCCGCTGCAGCCAGACCGCAGCTCATGGCAGATCTGCCTCAGGCCAGACTAGACGCTTCTACTCCCTGCTTCTCGCACGTTGGAGTAGATTACTTCGGACCGATCACAGTGCGAAAGCACCGAAAAACCGAAAAGCGATATGGCTGCATCTTCACCTGCATGGTTACTCGCGCCGTGCATTTTGAAGTGTCGTATTCGCTCGACACCGACTCATTTATCATGGCAGTTCGACGCATGATTGCGAGACGAGGCCGACCGAAGCACATGTACTCAGATAACGGTACAAATCTTCGAAGCGGCGAACGAGAGCTGAAACAATGCCTGCGGCAGTGGAACCAAGCGAAAATCGCTGACGACCTGTCACAGGAAGACATCGAGTGGTCGTTCAACCCACCCGGCTCACCTCACTTCGGTGGGGCATGGGAACGACTCATCCGCTCAAGCAAAAGAACGCTAGCGGTCATCCTGGGACATCGGTCCGTCGATGATGAGATGCTGCTGACCGTGCTCACCGAGGTGGAGGCCATCATGAACGGCCGTCCTCTCACACACGTCAGCACCGATCCAGCCGATTTGGAAGCACTGACACCAAATCACTTCCTCATCGGTCGGGCCTGCCCACAGCTCCCTCCCGGAATATTCACCGACGGGGACCTCAGCAGCCGCCGGCGCTGGCGACACGCACAGCGACTGGTCGACCACTTCTGGCAGCGCTGGAAAAAGGAGTACCTGCCGTCCCTCAGCACCCGAAACCGATGGTCCGAAAGCCAGGAAAATCTTCAGATCGGAGACCTGGTGCTCGTCACCGACGACAATCTGCCGCGCGGACGCTGGCCACTGGCCCGTGTCATGCAAACGTTTCCCGGCCGTGACGGCAAGGTGCGCGTGGCAGAAGTGAAAACTGCAACGGGCGTATACACGCGCCCTGTAGTTCGCCTATGCCCATTGGAGGGCAAGTGATTCGTGTCCTGTCACAGTAGTGCACTTGATCATGTAGTGCCGTTTGATCGCTGCGATTGATTTATTCTATCAGTACTTTCTACCTAATGTATAAATCGGGCCGGCTATGTTAGCGATCAAATCGGGTTTTTCACCTCCCTTCTCTTTCCGTGTGCTTTCGCTGTCAACTTGTTTTCTATACGACGGCTGTTGCGGTCGGCCACCGCCCACTCGGCGTGGCGTCACGTGAAAGGCGGCGGCCCGCCGCCAGCCATGCGTTTTTGCTCACGTCGACCCAGTGTTTTTAATCCCGGCCCAGTGACAGGGCCGGCAGTGTTGTTCGAACGCTCCTGCAAGGCGGGCACCGACAGCGGCCGCACCGACCCGTCAGCGGCCGCCGCTCACCTTGCAGCGATTCTTCTCGTCTTACCTCCATATTTCCACGTCGCAAATACACCTCAGTCTATCTCTGGTGTTGGTCCTCCGGAGTAACAAGAAAGCACGAACAGCTGGTAAGTGATATTGCTGGAATAGTTAATTCACAGACTTCTCTATATAGAGAAGTCTGTGGTTATTGCATGCGTTTCTTGAGTCCAGAATCCCATTGACCATGCATTGAATTTCGCATGAGTCTACGTTTAGCTAGGTTGACTAGAGTGCCAGTACCCAGCCAATTCAATCCTCACCACCCATTCTGTAATGTGGTGAAGATAGGCATTCATAACATCTAAAACAGCTAAAAGAACCAGATTTTTGTTAGGATCATTATTGTTTTGGCACGCGAGACATACTCATTTAGGCGCAGTGAAGGTACTGGCATCTTTTCGCCGGCACACATCAAACCCACACCATCGCTCTCACACGCGCGTGAGACCTTTGGGCATGCCACACTCCCGGCGATCTAATCACGCTCCTTGGGAACCATTCACCCATCACCCCCACACCCACAAACATCAGAGTCAGTCAATGTTGTGACGGCTCACACCAGACAAACAGCTGATGGGTCGCCGACTGACGCCGACACGGTAAGTCACTTCCGCCCGGTCCGGCCGACGCACGCAACCGACCCGGCCGACGAGCGTGTCGACGGCGACAGGTCGTCGGTCCGGCGACGGCGCGATGCTCCGACATTCCTACCTCAGCTCCAGGAGCGGCAGATATTTTGCATAGCGTCGAAACACAAGCTTGAGAGAACCTATGTATGGATTCACTACTCAGCGACATTGAGTCCTCACACGCCTCAGAGAAGCAATGAAAAATAAAGTAACGGGCTCGACTGAAATTTGAAAAAAAAACATCCATGTGTGTTGTGTATGTATATCGTGAATGACAGGTAGGTGCATCTGCCTAATAAAATGATCGGAAGTGGGAAATCTGACCACAATCTTGGGTAACAGTTTCTGGGTCTAAGACACACCAAAGGCGGATTTCGTTGCTCTTCTAGTTCAGGTTCATTGCGCTGCGGGATCATTATCTTTCTGCATGGCGAGCTTGTGGAACAGAAGAGGGCTATTCGTCTGCCAAAGGAGCTCCCTTTCGTCGGCTGGTGGTGTTATCTCACCGTGTCGTGGCTCTGCTCTCGTCTGGAACTAGGTGCTCTCTCCGCGACTCTTTCGTCTGGCTGCGGTGGCATATCGTTGATGGAAGGTCAACGAGTGGGCTGGTCGAATTGAATGGCTCAAGATCTAAAATTGTTACAAACCAATCAGCTGTGATTGAATCAGCTGAATCTATTTGTAACGTCACGATGATTGGATCATTGCGATACACCAATAAAATTGACAGCTGGTTTGCCTCACCCTTGGAAATATGTGACTGTAGCTAAGATCGCATCATATAAATTGACTCAGAACTGCAGTCTGCAAAATGTCATGAAGATTATAGAAAGTCCGTGTTGAACGCTAAACTTAACCGTTTCGTGTACCACGTTGGTGCAGGTTTAATCCACCACCGGACCAGGGTTGTATACCAATCAAGTCGATTGAATTGATTGATTTGATTCAACGCGTATTTTGAGTTGATTGGATTGAGTCGATTGACTTTTCGAGATGACTGGTTGACTGACTCGTTTGACTTAAGCGACTGGTTGACTGATTTGATTCCCGAAAATTAGAGTGACTCGTATGATTGAGTCGATTGAATGGAAAGTTGAAATAAGTTTTAGTTGACGAAAAATAATGACACTAATTGATGACATCAAAGATCACAAAACTACACTGAAAACTGCTTGTCATCACAACTGCAATATGGGGTAGATGGCCAAATAAAGAACAGGGCCTAAACATGAACAGCCAACTTTGACTTTCAACTGCAATAACTGCTCCAATCCTGTGATAGAACCTGGCGATGCACCTACCTACCTTTCTGCACTCAGCAGGAAACTTTTTTTTTTAATCCAGATGATTAAGTGCAAGGCCCTATATACTAATAAAGTGTGATTAATTACTAATTCACATCTCCACATTTCCTCAGAAACAACCCACTGAACTCTATAAAAACCCCTACAAAAATAACTGAAACAAAAGCGCCGTTTTCGTCTCGCTAATTACGTTTACATTAATAGCTAATTTGCTGCATTGTTTAACCCGCGCGGGGCTGGGGTCTCCAGCCGAACGCGCGGGGCTGGGGGGGGGGGGTAAATTTTACCCCCCCTGTTATCTCCCGAACTAATGGTCCGATTTGGAAAATTCAAACGCCAATCGAAAGCTCTCATCACGAACTACTAAAAACATGTACTTAATTTAAAGTTTGAGGTCAAGGTCAAGGTCAGGTCAAGGGTACAAATTGCAAGTTTCTACAGTATCGGCCTTGCACCGTAGTTGCCGAAGAATGGAGTCATGGACTGAGACTGATCGCCCAAAACGTGTTCTTAGGCTACCAAGACAATATTCGTTGCATACAATATCATTCAGGGGTCAAGGTCAAGGTCAGGTCAGGTCAGGTCAGGTCACCAAAAAACAAAATATAGAAAAGGGCATGTGCGACACATGTTTTATGGGTCATTTTACTCATAGAATTCAATAGGCACACTCAATAAGTGATATGGACCACCTCTGGATGAATTTCAGGTCGAGGTCAGGTCAAGGTCAGGTCAAGTGAGGTCAAATTTTGAAGTTGGTTGTTAAGGCCTAAAAAGGTGTCTATCTGATGCAGTTTTTCACGGCGAATCGAATGGTGCTATTTTTGTTTCCGTACGAGGTCTAGAACTTCCAAAAAAGTCATTTTTCAAAAATTTTGTGTGTCGTGACGTCATAAAATTTTGAATAACTCCCACATTTTTGAACCGATTCTTCTAAAATTTGGTATGTAGGTGCACATAGACCACTTCTCTGACATATATTCCGGTTTTTTCGATAGACTCAAAATTTTGGATTTTATAATGATTTTTCCAAAAAAGTCAGTTTTTTGAAAAAATTTAGGCCAAAATCCAAAATTTTCAAAAACCGAGATAGCCATTTGATAGACAAAGTAAAATGACGTATAACCTTTTTTGTTACGTCTTGATTCCTTTAAAAATGAAGATGTTAGCGGCGTTTGAACTTTTGCCGTTTTTGAGGCGAAAATGGCGAACATGACGTCACTAAAACGTCAATTTCTCAAAAATTTTCCGACGGATTTCGCTCAAATTTTCAGGGAACGTGTGAAATTGATGTAAGAAAAGGTACTGAGAGTTTGGCGGCGCTGCGCGCCGCCGTTTTTGAGATATCGCAAAAATTCGCGAGGGGGGGTAAAATTTACCCCCCCCAGCCCCGCGCGGGTTAATTTGCAGCAGAACGTTTGTTGATCCTTTTCTCCTGAGAGCCTAGGCATAACATATTTAATATATTTCATTTTCCTTAAAATATTTTACCGAATATTATTAAGTGGTTTTATTTCAAATGAAATAATAATTAAAACGAAATTGGTGTTGTATAACCGATTTATTTTATGATGATCTACCATACTACATGATAATCAATGACGTCATCTTACCAAAAAATCAAAAGACGTAGAATAAGGATTTATAAAAGCTTAGCATACTTCTTGGCAAAACGTTTTCTTTGTTTTTTCGCAGTCGCACCAACGGCATTTAATTTTCCTTGTTCTTCTTCCTTTGTCCTTAACTTATCCTGTGGTTCCAGAGTCCCTGTCCTTTCCATTTCCTTTTAAATATATTTTTAATGCTCATCCCTATCCCCCAGTCCTAACAGTTTCAAATTGTATTGCAATTAAATGTTTTGAATTCTTCACATATAACCTATCTACCTTCGTTGGTACTGTTGGTAGCCAGTGACACATCTAGGCAGGTAAGTAGGTACCTACCTACTTTCCTGCTGTCTTCATAAAGCATACCTAATGAAGTTGTCAAATTTGTAGCACATTTTCAACACTTTCATATCAATATGGTGTCAGTGTGGCATGTAACCTAGCTAGGTTCATTATGTTCAGGGTTCAATTCAGAAGAGCTCCGCATAACTCACATAAGAGACAGACGGGGGCTTTACATGGGGTAGATGGCCTGATGACTTAGCTGGAATATGGCCAAAATTAAATTGACAACTTTTAGGTGAAAGGTGGTGATTTGGGTTAAGGGGCCTTTGTTGAAGTCAACTGCTGGGTTATTTTGCACCCATTAAATGAAACTTCTGCTCCAATTCTACCAATTGAACCTCAATATCATGATCCACCTGTCCATCACTAGGTATCCTTCCTTATTACATAGAAACTTTGAATGGCATGGCAATTTATAATTTTAAATGACAATATTTTTGTTTCTTCTGTAGGTAGGTAGGTAGGTAGGTACACCAGACTGCTATGGACACTTTTCCAAGTTGGTGGGGCAAAAAACCTAATGTATATCTTGGTTTGAGTCGTTTGATTGAGTTGATTGATTCCTTTCATTGTCGCGTTTGAGTCGATTGAATCAATTCCCGAAAACTGCTCTGACTTGATTGATTTGA